TGGTAAAGAAGAGAGGAGGGCACGCGAGGACGCGCCGAAGGCTACTACTTGCACTCATCTGTAGAGATTTCTTCTTTCCTTCTCCTTTTCAGCCTTGAGGCTGCTTTCATACTTCGCGACTCGATTGAATCGCCGTTTCAATAGTGCATGTATCGGTTGGCGCCCAAAGCTCTGATTCTCGCGTGGGACCTATCCTCGCAAAACGCTGCTCTGCCATACCGCTGATTCAAGAAGTATGAACGCAGCAAGAACCAGGGTTGCCGCTTCCCTTTCAGCAAAAGTATTAGCAGCAGATTACCCTCACAAAACCCATTGTCAGTCAAAGTTTTTTGTTCCTGAAAATTTTCTTTTCAGCCTCAGGCAGGTGTTCCGCCTAGAAACAACTTGTACTCATGTAATATCACTGAGCCACTGGCTCTCAGTGCTCTCGAGCGAGCCAAGACGGAATCCTGCATTAGAAAGGTGTTTTTTTGCGTTAGCTCGTCATTATTTCATGTTGTGAATTTTTGATGCTTTTATGTTGCTCGTCCTGTGTTGCAGAAAGCGGACAATTAGGGTCTACTTGAATTTAACTTGGAATAACTTGCCATGACTCTTCCGCACAAAATTTTTTAGAAGGAAATCGGTTAAGCATATGTTCTTGGGTCAAGTTAACATTATCTTATTATAATCTATTCTTGGACCACAGAATCGGTGCAAGAATAGATGTTAACAACCATGAGACAACTTCTTCATTTGAGCTTGGCGGAAGATCTCCATTACTGGCAATCCCAGTTTCCCGCGGAGAGGGCTTTGAGTGCCCTCTCCTGGCGGACTGGGTGCTCTTTGATGAATCATTCTCCGTTCATTTCTTGTAGTTTTTGAATGTTAACCGGTTAGCGTATAACCTTGAGCCGGACCTCTCTGGACCAGTTTTTTATGGTTTCTGCCATTAGTGCTAATGCTCGTACACTTTTTAGATTACCGATGCTGCATGTCGATTAAAAAATGGCGCGTTCCATGACCAATTCCCTGAAAGTCAATGTGGAAACCACGGTTTGTTGATGTTCAGTTGGGAGCTTTCTATCTCGTTTGATTTTCGATTTCTAGATCGTTCGCTGGTCAATAGACGAGTTGGATGTTTCGAAGATTACAAGAATAACCGAAGCCTAAACGGATTTTCATACGAGTTCAAGAGCGATAACTCCCCAGAGAAATGCCGCTCTTTCTGCTATCGGGCCGGTTTTGTTTATTACGGTAAGAAGATCCCTGAGATTACCGTCCTTCGCGACTGCTCAACCCTTTTTCCGTATCTCCGCTTCAGTTCTAAATGCGTTTGGATTAGTGTTGGTGCATTTCACCCTCATTGGATCTGAATATTTCAATAAGTAGGGAGTCCCAGACGGAAGAACGCAGACGAAGGTGTCTGTGCTTACATCTAAATGTGTTCTATAGACCAGTGTAAAACCGGGGTCATATCTGGTCGCTGGAGGGGAGAGGATCATGTTTGCTCTTGAGGGACAATTTCAGGCTGTTGAATTTATCACCTTTTCCCGTTTCAAGTGCGCTTCATGCCTCTACTCCACCTCCCTTTGCGCTGCTGTTTTTCCGAGGAAAAAGAAGGATATCCGAAAAAAAAATTGGAAAAGGGTAGTAAGTTAGATGAATTCAAATTTGGGGGTTGGTAGGAAGGGAAAGGGGGTACCAGACGAGGAAGTTCCAGGGAAAGAGGTCATTTTTTGAACATTCTTCCCTAACGACAGGACGTGCTCTTCCGCTTTATAGAAATTTAAATCAGATTCTGTTCCCCCTCCCCTCTAACTCAATAAATCCTACAGTCTTCTCTATCATACAGTTTTTTTCGTGGAACCTCCGGATTTTGTGCAGAGTTTCAGGCCTATCTTCCAATGTTATCCTTTTTGGTGGGTAAGCAACTCGTATATTTTCAGTTTTTCAGGGTTGGAGTTTGGTCGAGAGTGTTTTTGTGGAGACTCCATATCAAGTAAGCCCTTGAGCCAAGAGAGATGTTTGGAATACAAATGCAGCGGAAATATTTCTCAATATTGCGGAGGATTCAAATAGCGTTGAGGTCTTTGCATCACGGGATTCCAAAGTTTCGTTAGGCTATTTCTTTTTTGTCTGAATGAGACAGTCGGAGAGTGAGTCTAGGAGTGAATAGTTGCAGGGCTAGGGCCATGCTTAGAAAGATCTCTTGTAAAAATTGGGCCCACCATAGGGCATATTTGAAACCGGTGAAGCGTCTCATAAATGGCCCCCCACCCTTTTTAACGAAGTGCATTCAATGGTTCCTTCCAAGCCCAGCCTTCAAGTGATCATAGGACGCTTGAATAATGAGCTTGATAATGCTAGTCCTTTCCAACGCATGGAATCTTCGAATTGTTTCAAGTGTGGGATATTTCTAGGACCTCATTCAATGCCCAAAGCGGTTTTTGAGACAGGTTCTGATGATAACCTGAAGAGACCTCGTATACTGTTTTTACTGCAACTGAACGGCAGAAATGAGCGACAGGTTGGTTACGTTCATGGCCTTACTCCAACAGTTTTTTTCATTTAATAACTTTCAGGTAAAAAGGCTTCTCAAAGCGCTTTATTCTCCTTTCCATTACTACTACATCCACGTTGACAAACGCCAGCTCTATATGCTCACAGGTTCGACCAGTGCACTGCAGTCCAGTTCGCTGCAGGTGAAGAGGCGTGTCAGGCTAGATGGGATTGGCGTGGTGCCAAACCCGCTTCCCACGCGCTGTTGACGCGAGCAAGCGGCAAGACTGTATGATATCGTTCGTATCAGTCGTTTTGAACCACTTGTTGTTGCTCGTTCGCTTCGACAACTGGTGGAAAACATTTTGGCACCGTGCCAAAGGGCAGCCGCGCATAATAACGCCCCATGCATCTCGCGCGCGAACCAAACTTTATGAAGCATTTTGGAGAATCTCTTGAGGTCAAATCATTAGCTTTTTGTGTTTTCAGTTTTCTTGTGCCTTACGAGGTTGTTAGGTGGAACATTTATTTAAAGGCCTAACGTTTCGACACAATCGTCGTCTTCAGAGGCCTGAACGTGTTTCAAGTATTAGATTTTGCAACCTACCCCACCAAGCACCTCGTCCACTCTAGCGGTTCCGACGTCGTGTCAGGAACCTCTTTGAGGCGTTAACATCGCAAGAGGTTTCTGACAACGCGTCGAACACGCTAGCGTGGACGAGGTGGCTTGGTGAGGTAAGGTTGCAAAATACTAATTCTTTGAAACACGTTCAGGCCTCTGAAGACGACGATTGAGTCGAAACGTTAGGCCTTTAAATAAATGTTCCACCTAACAACCTCGTAAGGCACAAGAAAACTGAAACACTTACTAACATGCCGAGGTTGCAAGAAGAGAGAAGCTGGAGATTAGCTTTTTGTGTTCAGAAATGAAAGCTGTCGCTGCTTGGCTAAAGCTGTCGAATGTGTTTGTGTCACCAGATGCTCACAGCACTATTTGGGGTGGTGCATCTTTGCTGACCATGGTACAAGGTAAAGTATTGTTAAATTTTAGGTGCATTTCGGTTTGGTGGGGCGTGTCCCTCGATTTCCATCAATCACTGCGACCCCTTCTATAGAAAGCTGTGAATTCCCTAAATTCCTGTAACGCAGTGCGATAGTAGGAATTTCGTTTACATTTGACAAAGTTCTACAGTTGTTACCAAGACGTAAACGTGTAATTCAATAGTAACTAGCAAAAGGAATTGGCCAAGGTGCAAAATGCCCCTTCCGAGTCGAACAGTGCCTATTTTTGTAATGTTTACATTATTCAAATCTAAACTGTTGTTTGAAAAGTTGCAGAACTTGCCGTCTTTTCAGACACATATTCGTCGTTTCTATCGCCACACCGTCGCTTTCTGATTGGGATTACCTCATAAACTTGTCCGAAAGTGATTTTCCTGTTATGACCCTTCAAGAGTTTGAAACGCAGCTTCGCGCGTGAGTTACTTTTGATACAGGTTCCATTTATATGTTTCGATTGTTTTTTGCCAATTGTTTTTTTAAAGAAGTAGAGGATTTCCCTATGAAGTTGACTTTTCAAGGTTTTTAACTTTTTCGAAATGGTTGAAGGCTGCCCCGTGTTCAACCAGGCTGTGGGGGGTCACCTCCTTCTTTAAAAGTAAGTCTCGGGATGCAGCGGTCGCAAGACTGTTCGCAACCTTCGCTTTCTTAGCGAGGCCGGCTCCTAGTCCGCTCACCAAAATTTTAAGGCTATTTTCTGCCATGATTTCAGTTTCCACACCGCGTTTTCTTTTTTTTCACTTTTAAATGGTACTAGTATTGGATGAAGAAGACACCATCCGTGAGCAAGAGGTGATATGAAATGAGTTCTGGTGAACTCGTACAGTAAGGCCATCAGGGGTCCTTTCGTAGGTACTCCCTCATATTTTCTTGTCACTGCCACTTAGCGTCAACATTTTTGCGTGATTGAACGTCACTATCCACAACATTCATGCGTGGTTTGCCTTCGATTATTTTAGTTGATTATTTTTTCGGTCGCAGGTGGATAGATAGGTTTTCAAGTCTCTGCTCTTTGTATATGACCTCAGTCATTTATTCTTCTAGGAATCCAGGGAAGTCTTATATGAGTAGCCATGGATATAACACAGGCAGGTTTATCCAAAAACAGGGATTCGACTTCGTCTTCGTAGAGTGCGAGAACCGCATGTGGAGGATCGGCAGGAGGTATCTGCGTCGTTTTTGAAATTTTCTTTTCCACTATCGAAAAAAGGATAGTTTCTGTAGATGGCTGGAATTATTACGTGTATGTGCGGCCCCACCCCTTCTCTCCTAGTTGCTTGGTGTGTTACAGAGGCGAATTTCCACGCAATCTTCGCGTCGATGGCGGTTCTGACTGGATAGTTCTTCATAGAGAATTCGCAGAATACTCCATATCTGACGATGAGCTACCTGCTAAATTACGAGCTTTGTTTGCCAGCATTATCCTGCCAGTAGAGAGCTTTTTTCACACGGTACGTTTTGATATTGGAAGTCTTTTCATTCGTTACTCGTGTCAAAGTACCTTTTTTCAGCTCTCGTACAATTCCCGTTTCTGTGAAAGTATCTTAGGCAGCAATTTACGCCTTACAAACTGGAACAGGAAACAAGGTGAGGCGTTGCTGTAGTATGATGACGTCGTTTTTTTTACTTTTTGACCCATGCCTCACTATGCCATGTCCAACATTTGTTCGAAGCATCAGGGCACTTCAGTGCTGTGAGGTTCTTGTCGAATTACCTCTTGAGGCGACAGTACTGGTTTGCACCCTTGGTAAGAGTGCCTCATTCTCAGTTTTTGTTGGTTTTGGAGGTCCCTGGTTGACGGGGTGGCCACTGAGCTTTTGGTAGGATTATGCCGTTCTGGAAGCACCGTAGTCATGTCTTGTCCAGTCTAGCACAGGCTAAAGTTCGCTTCAAAAGT